AATATTGATTTGGAGAGAGTTTCATTTAGGATGGATTCGGGGAAGGGATCCCTCAAGAGTTGTGCACTATGAAGGAGGTGGATCCAGAACCTCATCCACTGATATTGTGTGTCCTATGTACATGCGCGTATGGGACATACTGAAGATTGCAAAAGATCCAAATGAAACACGTCCTCTTATATTGTGCGAGTATGTAAACTTTTGTCCTTTTAGTATTATTCATGTTTTTTTCTTGTGCTTTTCCTTTCTGCTTTACAATGATACTTTAAACTATGGTGGTTTTCTTCAAGGTTATGCTATTCTCTTTCTTAGTGGTCCTTTTGTAAAAAAATGCAGGTATTCACATTCATTGGGTAACAGCAATGGGAATCTACCTGAGTATTGGGAAGCAATTGATAGCACATTTGGTCTCCAAGGAGGCTTTATCTGGGATTGGGCAGATCAGGTTGAGAATTCTTGTTGCTTTATAGCTGGAGGTTTACAGTTTTCAATAGGAAAAAGGTGAAGATGTTTTAGAGAGACTAAACATACTACACGTTGCTTGTAGGGCCTACTGAAGGAAAGTGCAGATGGTAGTAAACACTGGGCGTATGGAGGCGACTTTGGTGATTTCCCTAATGATTCAAATTTCTGTTTGAGAGGCCTTGTATGGCCAGATCGAACAGCTCATCCTGCATTACATGGTAACCTGTTTAAATTTGAGATTTGTAATGTACATCTGCACTTTTTATTCAATCTAAGAGGACATCTGTATCATTCATCATTTTGACTTACCAATGGTGGGCTCAATTATTATTTCAGAAGTCAAATACGTGTACCAACCTATCAAGGTGTCACTGAGGGAGGGCATACTCAAGGTACTCACATGTTTCCTTCAGTTTTTCAATTATCATGATTTGATTAATATGTATTTGACCTGTGGTTAAATTTTAACGTTTTAGATAAAGAATAACAACTTTTACGAAACAACTGAAGAAATGGAGTTCAGCTGGGCTGTTCATGGAGATGGTTGTGAACTTGGTTCTGGAATTCTCTCTTTTGCTGTGATTGAACCCCAAAGCTCTTTTGACATAGAATGGAAGTCTGGTCCATGGTATTCTCTATGGGCTTCCTCTGATGCTGAAGAAATATTTTTAACAATAGTCACTAAGATTTTGCACTCGACACGTTGGGTTGAAGCTGGTCATATCATTTCATCCACACAAGTACAGTTGCCTGCCAAAAGAGAAATTGTACCTCATGTATGTTCTTCAATGCATGATTTTATCTTCGGAATTTTGGCTGTTACTTGCAATTATTTCATGTTTTCACAACTGATTTTTTTCAGTTCATCAAACCCAAAGATGTTGCCCTCTCCACTGAAGTTCTTGGAGATATTATCAATATTAAGCAACAGAACTTGTGGGAGATCAAATTGAATGTTAGAACAGGAATGCTAGAAAGCTGGAAGGTAATCTATGCATTTGGTGCTTGTTGAATTGGATATTGTTATATTTGTTTCCCTGAAGGAAAATATTAATCTCTGTTATATCCTTTTGGGGTAAAAAGTTTCTGAACTCCCTAAAACTGAAAGAACAAAACTTTACAGTTTGATAAGGAAAATGTTTGATCATTGATGGAATCCATTTTCCCTATAAATCTGTTAGGATTTTTGGTTCAGTAACTGTTTGACCCAACATTCTTTTTTCCTTTTCTTTTCGTTAAATTCAAAATATTTTTACAGGTTTTCTTTCTTCAGATAAAAGCTGTTAATGATAGAGGAACGTGCAATTCATGTTAGCTTCCTTGTAAATTTTCAACATTTGACTAGAAACTTGAAGCTTGGCCTTGTTTTGTGAGACCTGAGCACACTGAAGTGTTTTAAAATAATTTGAAGTTCTAACAGTGTGATCGTAAATGGTAGGTTGAAGGAGCCCCAATCATGAATGAAGGAATATTTCCATGCTTCTGGCGAGCACCTACTGATAATGACAAAGGGGGAGAACAAACTAGTTACTGCTCCCGGTGGAAAGCTGCCCGTATTGATAGCCTCTCTTTTATTACAGAAAGTTGTTCTATACTAACTCGGGCAGACAATCTCGTGAAAATAGCAGTTGTTTACCTTGGTGTGGTGAAGGGTGAGGATGGCTCTTTCAAAGAAGGAAAATCAAATGCTTTATTCAATATTGACATGATTTATACAATTTATGGTTCTGGAGACATCATTATCGAATCCAATGTAAAACCCAATTCTGATCTTCCTCCTTTACCGCGCGTTGGAGTTGAATTCCACCTAGAGAAATCAGTGGACCGAATCAAATGGTATGGAAGAGGACCATTCGAGTGTTATCCAGATCGGAAAGCCTCTGCCTACATTGGGTTCTATGAGCAAACCGTGGCTGGCATGCATGTTCCTTACATTGTTCCTGGGGAAAGTGGGGGCAGGGCAGATGTCAGATGGGTGACATTTCAAAACAAAGATGGACTTGGAATTTATGCTTCAGTTTATGGCAACTCTCCACCTATGCAAATGAATGCAAGTTACTACAGAACAGCAGAGCTTGACCGTGCAACACATATTGAAAAACTAATCAAGGGGGATGACATCGAGGTAATTTTTCCTTTTGTAGCCAGGAAATGCCTTTTCCCTAAACAAATTTAAGAAAACAACGACAAAAGATATTACTGAAGTGAAGTGATCAATTAACCTACATGAAAAAAAAAAAAGAGTGAAGTGATTAACAAAATGCCTCAAATGACCAATAATTACTGCTATTTCCAGATTTATCTCTTATTTCATGCTGCTGATATAAAGCATTTGTGGTTCTATCATTCTTTGGGGTTCTCTGGTTTCCTCAAATACTTGTTTTCTGCTGTTCTTTTGATTAATTCTCTACATTGTTTCTCACTGAATATGACCTTGTTTGTTACGTTATCCCATTAATCTCCGTGTTACTGGTAGGTGCACCTTGATCATAAACACATGGGTTTGGGTGGAGATGATAGCTGGACACCCTCCGTTCATGATAAGTTTCTAGTTCCTCCTGTGCCATACTCCTACTCTATCAGGTTGTGTCCCATCACAGCTGCCACCTCCGGCTATGACAACTACAAATCTCAACTTCAGAACTGAATCCTGTTTTTCAGCTAAATGCTTTCTGAAGGATACGATGATGTTACTGTATTTGACCATGTAATATATATTTTCCTAGAGATAACCTCCATGTAGTTTGGCCTAAAAACAAAAAATTTATGAATGTGAAACCATATTTTATTACTTCTTCTTTTTTCTTTTTGACCAAATAGGTCATCCCTAAGTCTTACTGCTTGAACTTAGTTAGATGGAAGTTCAACTCCTACCAATAACTCCAAAAAAATATCATCTCCTAAAATTTTCCCTTGTTAAAAAAAAAAAATCCGTTTTTTGGATCTATGCTGGATTAATTTCCTAAACACATGAAAATTATTCTATTTAAACACGGTGTAACTCATCGAAATTATTTCTACAAAAATAAAGTTAAAGGAGTTGAATTTGCATTCTAATTATGGTTGTAGTACTTTCTCTTCAAGAAACCATATTTCAAAATTTAAATTTTAATTATGACAACAAACATCCTAATATCATTAGAAAATGATGGTAAGCAAGGGGGGAGGGAAAACCACATGGAATCGACTATTTAGTAGCATCTTTTCTTATTCACTTATTTAATGAAATTAATCAAGTAATTTGCATGTTTTTATCCAGTTAAAGGCAGATGATTTGCATCAAATTAAAGAATTCATAAGAAATTTTCTTTTTTATTGGCTTCCTCTCTTATTTAACTTGTCAATTAATATATCAATGATAGTTTTTTTTTTTTAAAATAGAAGTAAGATATTTTTAAGTTTGAATCACATTACATGAAGTGGGTTAGGTGAGGGGATGAGTACTCATTGTACAACTCAAGATGAAAAAAAAAATGTTAATTAATGCATTAAAATAACATGTCTTTAGCATAAATAAAATTGTTTAACACTAATAAGAACTTAATCAAGTTAATACCCATCAAGTTAAAACTTTAATTTAGGATTAAGACATGTGATACCAAGCAATTAACTTTTCTATAAAAAAAAGTATTGTTTAATCTTTTCTCATAATATAATACTTGATTGAAAGAGTTTTTTCTTTTAATTATTAATTTTTAAAGGAAATCTTATTTTACAATTTAGACTGTATTAAATTATAGAATAAAGACTATTAAATGAGAAAAGACCCTAATATTAAGAGATTAATAATAAATTCTCAATACTAACAAAAGGCATCAATTAACTACTAGAATAAGGTGAGGTTATCTCGAATTACAGTTCTAGTCATGCGATCCTTGTCTTTATTTTTGTAACTCGGGTATTGTGATAGAGCTCGTTTGTGTTGAATGGCCCAAACTTCGTTGGTGGAGCATTAGTACAAATTGTTACTCTTACTGGAATTTGGTCTTTGGGATTCGTTGACACTTCCATAGCTCCTGTAGTCACTCTCGTTGCATAACCCATGGACTCATATTCATTACTTATAATAGCTCCCTAGTCATTTTTGCTTCCAAATGCAATGCTATTTCTAAGAACTTCCTCCATTGATGCAAACCTGCTCTCTTCTATACATGGAATTCACCTTTGCCATTTACGTATTATGGGGTTCCCACTTATTGTTAGAGAATGAAGAAAGAATGTTGATATTACAAGTAAGGACAATTTTAAATTTGAATTTCCTTTCTTCCTCTTCTTTCTCATAATAACCTTCTCGATCAATGTCTTCATGCGATTCTTGGTTGGCCTCCCATGACGTTGTTTATAGGTTGGATTCATCACCAGGAGTTTTTCCTATAATATTAGGGTCATCATAAACTATTGTTGAATAGTTAAGGACCTTTGCCCCTTTCTTTTTCACCCTAGTTGATGTCTTACCCTTGAAAATATATAGCATCTTGCCCATGTTTATTTCCTAAATTTGTTTTCCATGAACTCAACACTTGTACTATTTTTGTTGTTTTATCTTTAACATATGTTACCATTTTAGGGATTTCAGACCCAATCTTAGCAATATGCAACAATACATGCCAAAGTTCATCATACCTTTCCATTTCAAGCCTTTTGTCATAAGTAATGGAAACAAATTTCTCATAATTATACTGTCAGGTTATATCCTTCCATCAGTGATCCAAAATGTATATTGAGTTGACCTCTTTTACTTACTGTTGGAGTAACATAGCAAATGCATACTGAGATACAATTCCTCTAAACTCAAAACACTTATAGGTACAGCTAAATTCAATTTTGTCAGTGTAAAAGGTTACTTTTTCCATCCCACCATTTCCTTCTTCACACTGAAAAATTTTGCACCCCCTTCTTATTAATAATGGTGTAACTTATTAATTGAATGTTTGAATGGCTATGTCTTTAAAAAGTCACGTACTAAAAAATAGGACATGTAGTTTACTCAATCAACTCAATTTCGTAAGAATTTAATTTTCACCTAAATTTATCACTAATAGAACACAATAAGGAACCTGGCCCTTCGGGCCAAATGGCTCTAGCCACGTTTGTAAAGGTTCATATCCCTCTCCCCAGGGCAATGGTTCGAACTGGCCCCATGACAAAAATGTTTAAAAGAAAAAAAAAAAAAGAACACAATAAGACTTTGCAAAATGATCACATTTATCGAGAGTCTAATAATTGAAAGAGAGATCATGTTTTAATGCAAAGCATTGTTGATATCTTGACAAATTTTCTATTATTTAAGTGCTTTAAATATTTATTAGTTAGACAAGTAAAAACAACATGCAATACAAATTAAAAATGAAAAGCAATTATTGGTAATCTAATTAATATTTTATTGTGTTACCTTTAGCATAAATACTAAAGGTCAAACAAGTCTTATTTGTGTTGTTTGCATCCTTCTCAATATTTATGTGGAGTAAATTGACATGATTTCATCTAATTTGCTCACTTGCAAAAAATGACACAATAGTGACTTATACTACCACGTTCTTGTCACATCCTCTTTTCAACCCAAATAGTTACTAATATTACAATACACATTTTTAATTATTATATATGGGTTTTTTTTTTAAGGCAAGGGTTTAGATTATTATTTTTTACATGAATATAGATATATACATAAAATTAACACTAGTAAATTATTTTTAGTATTTGTATTAATTAAATAATTATAATTATATAATTTAGAAGTGAAATGTCAATTTTTATTTGTTAATACAGTATAATTATTATTTTTTAATAAAACACCAGGTTAAAAAAAATCCATTAAAATTAATAAAACCAATTCATTAGTATTCATTAACACCATAGATATCAAACAATTAAATTTATTATATCTTTTGAATTATTGACCTATTTAAATTGTTTATATATTAATAATTTTCAATAATATAATAGATTAATAAAGTTAATATGAATATAACAAATATTATTTGACCTGAAAAAAAGTTTAGTAAATTTGTAAAAAAATATAAAAACTATTGCT